CGGCCTGCCTCACATTTCCCTCAAGCAAATGGGAAGAGACCGGGTCGTGGTGACGGGCTGCTCCCGAGACCACCCGGGCCCGGTGACATCCGCCACTCAGGACCCTCACTCCTTCCTAGGGTGCTTGCGTGGCTCTCCCTCCACGCCTGCCCCGGTGTCTCCATCCGAGATGAACCCCCACCATGCCATCATCCCAGCTGAAACACTCCCTGTGAACCACAGCCAAGTCCCTGCCAACAGGTCGGAAACGGGGACTGAGGCCATCCTCAGAAGGCTACAGGAGCCCCACAGAACGGAGGAGCTGCGGGAAGACCGTGCAGACCTCGTGCCCTCGTCCAGAAGCAGGGAGAAGGGAGGGCGGAGGCTGGGGAGGCTGGCGAAAGCAGGGCCTTGGGACTTTCAGGGGCAGAACTTCTGCCCGGCCGTCAGACCACACCCTCACCCGGTGACCTCTAGTGACCATCTGCTGACCGCTCTCCTTCTGTGGCTGTCCCAGGGAAGCCAGCTCAGAGGCGTCCCTGTAAATTAGCCTCCTGGAGCAGAGGATGAGAACCGAGGACCCGCACCAGCGAGGAGGCCCACCCCTGCCCAGGACCCATGTTTGTGGGGGCCCAGGGGGCACTGACACAGGCCATCCACGTCCCACACTCCGGCCATCTGCATGGTCTGCTCTGTTACGATGGCGCCTGCCAGCCTGGGAACCCAAGAAAAACGAAGGTACTAAAATACACTGATCTAAGAAGACAGCCTTCGAGAAGTCTTCCCGAACTCCAAACACGCACACCACACACCCGGTGCCGCGCTGGATACGGGACCAGACGGCTGGCCGCACGCAGGACGCCGCTGCATGGAAGCCGGGCCGGCAGCAAGAGGACTCCCTGCTGACGGACTTCTCGAACCAGGCACCCTGTAAGAGAGCGCGGTGCGGGAACAGCGACAGCCTCGGTCACCAGGGAGGGCTTTCTCCAAGGAAGTAAAAAGTAACAAACAAAATTCAGGGTCCTCCTTCCTGACTGGCTGAGACCTTTCCCACTTCCGTGGCAGCAGCCTCCCCCCCATCCGGCTCTGTCCCCCCGCCCCCGTGGGCCGCACACCGGCCTCCCGCACGCGGGCCCCGGGACGCAGCTCGGGCAAGCACGCCAAGGGCGACACGGGGACTTGTCTTGAGCCGATCACGGCTCCGCTCCTGCCAGCATCCACATCAGAAGACAGATGTAGGAACAACGTTAACATACTCCCCAGCGTTGCCAAGGCAAAAATAACCTGCCGCTTCCCGAGATCTATCAAGTGGAGACGCACGCAGAGACAGAATACCAACGATCCCGCGCCCCCGCTCCTCCCCCGGCAGCGCTTCATCTCCTTCCTCCCGGCGCCCGCGAGCCGCAGCAACACCACAAAGGGACAGGGAAGGTCAGGAGAGCCCCGTCTCCACCAGCATCAGCGTCTGGGCTCTGCTTCTGAAATTTATACAACCTTCAACGGGTCAAGGGAATAAGGAGCAGGGCTCGGATGTGCTCTGGCTTCAAAGGCGCTCTCAGATGCTAACAGACCTACTAATCAAAGACATGCAAATCCAGAAGCACCACTTACGTCTCCGGAAGGGAGAAAAAAAAGGTATTTAGGTATTTCCAGAAGACTTCCAGAAGATCCACGACAGGAAAGGCTACAGGGAAACCAGAACCCTCATCGATGCTGTCAGGACAACACGGCAACTGTCAGCAGAAGCCAGCGACCTCAAACCCCACTCCTAGGAACGCGCCTGAGTGAGCAACTCAATAGAAACAGAAAGTACACGCCACCTGCCGCGTTCGTATCTCGTACGTACTCTACATACCAGGACGCACGCACGTAAAACAGTTTTTTACGTGACACAACACGGGCTAGTCGACCATTAAAAGTCCTAATGACAGAGACTAAGACAACGTTTGACTCATTAACTGAAAACCACGAGTGGAAATGAGGATCTGTATCCGGATTACGACGGACGACGCAGAAACCATCGGCGCAGGTGTGGGAAGGGGACCCTGAGGAGACCGGCCCCGCACGACGCGGCCGCCCCGGGGAGGGCCCTCACCTCGCCGGCCGCGGCCAAGCCGTCCTCCTTCTCCCGAAGCTTCTGGCCGGCGGCGTCCAGGCTCTGCCGGCACCGCCTGTGGCGCTCCAGCTGCTCCTTCATCCTCTCCTCCGCCTCGGCCTCGCGCTCCTGCAGCTGCCGGATGCGCGTCAGGAGCTCCTGGTTGCGGTCCACCTCGCGCTGCCAGAGCGGGGACAGAAAGCGGGGACAGTGAGCGGGGGCGGGGCGGCCCAGCCCATCTTCCCCGGGGACAGGCGCGGCCATGCCGCACACCCCATTCCCGCAGGGAGAGGCCCCGCGGCGCACTCACCTCCCGCAGCCCTTCACCCCCGCCACGCGTCTTATGCCGGGAAGCCAGCCACAGGACCAAGACTCCATCGCTCTGATGGCCCCGGGGGGGGGGGGGTCCCGAGAGCCAACGGTCGGCCACGGGGAGCTTACCTTCAGCCCCAGAAAGGAAGGGACCACAAAGCGGGCACCTAATGCTGCTGGCCTCTGAGCGCTCCCCAGGAAGGGGAGCCGCGCAAGCCCCCCGCAAGGTCCGCCAGCACCCCCAAGGCAAGTGCTCACCCCAGGGCTCTCCAGCTCAGCACCACGGGGGAGCAACACGAAAGTGGGGACACAGCCTGCTCAAGGGACACACGGGAATAAGGAGCTACAAGTGTGATCTCCGAACAGCCAGGGGACCCTTCTGCCACGGAAGCACGCCACAGAGCAGGGTACGGCATCTCCGTTCGGGCTGCCAGTCCCAAGTGCACACAGGGCAGTCCGTGCAGGTCCCCAGACCTCAGATGCCAACCGGAGTCTCACCATCTAGAGGCTCCAGAGTCCCACCCACTGCCAAACTGGCATCCCTGAAAACCCACGACATGTGTCCCAGACAAAGAAACCACGTGAGAGATGCTCGCTCAGGCGGTCCAGGTCCCACGCAGCCGCATCTGCGGGTGGGAAGGGAGAGGCCTCTCAGAGAGAGAGGCCATGCTCAGCGAGGGCCCGGGGTTAAGCGCAGCCCGCATCCTTGGATTTCCCCAAGACAAAACTTCCACCGACCCTGCAACGATGCCCCACTCATTCCAACATATCCTAAGCACCTGTAAGGTGCCACAGCCCGTGCTGGACCCTGGAGACCCAGAGCAGCCAGGACAGACTCTGTCCTCGACAGACTTACAGCCCAGGAAAATTCCAGGAGCTCCACACCCCGTGCCTTCTGCCTGAGAGCCAGGCGGTAACACCAACACGACGATTCCTACCATCTCGTGGCCCCTGGTGCCACCTCCACACCCCTAATAAGGCACTTCGTTACCACGGCCTTCCCCTGTCCCTCCCAGGACGACCCTGAACAGCAGCTAACACCACACGTTAAGAGAGAGACCCCCTCAGAGCGGCACCAGGACAATGCCAAGGCCACGGCACCCACTCGCAGCCCATGTATCCGGGGTACTGGGCCCACACGGCACACCGTGGCCAGAAGCCTGCGTACCAGGTCGAACACATCAAATTAGCATCACGCCCTCGAAGACATCAGCTATTTTTACAGGACTAGGAAAGCATGCAGATATGCTACGTAAGGCAAGAACAGGGCCAGACATCCACCCCTGGGAAAGCGTAGGCAGGTCAGAGACTTTCCGGTCCAATGCTTTGCTGGAGTCTGGCAGCATTTCCACAAATCATCAGCACTTATTAAAAAACCCTGGTGAAGTGCTGTTGATCAAAGCAAAGGAAGCAAGGGATTTATGCCCTAAGTAAAAACCTAGCACCTTCTCTAGGTAACACGCTTTCCCAGCCTGCCCAGGGTAAGCCAGGGACAACAGGAAGTAACCCCAGGCTGGAGGTCTTTTTTTTCTTTTAATTTTTAATTTTTTTTTTAGAGAGAGAGAGAGACACACACACACAGAGTGCGAGCGGGGGGGCAGAGAGAGAGGGAGACAGAGAATCTGAAGCAGGCTCCAGGCTCCGAACTGTCAGCACAGAGCCCGACGCGGGGCCCAAACCCCCGAACCGTGAGATCATGACCCGAGCCGAAGTCGGCGCTTAACCGAATCAGCCACCCAGGCGCCCCTGGAGGTCTTTGCTCTGGGCCCTGTAACCACGTGAGCAAGACTGGTCCAGCCTGGACCTGAGACCTCCATGCAAACCAGTGACTTTCCAAGCCTGTCGCCCCGTGGCACCTGGTATTTCTGCTGGATTTACACCCCAATTCTTGGGAGGGGTGGGGAGAACACGCAGCCCAGCAGAGAGGAACGCCCACCGGCACCTCGCCAGGCAGACGGCAGGCGGTCCTCCCCCGTGCGCTGCCCCCTCAAGGACATCGAGCACAGTCACTCTGTGGCCTCAGGAGGGAGAGCACCTTGGCTCCCAGCCAGGAGGGTCACCTGCCCGACGGTCCAGCAGGCACCGTGCACGATGCCCTACGCCGGGCCCGGCTGCCCGCACGCACCTCGTGGCTTCTGACGGCCAGGCCCACCCGCTCGCACCCACCTCGTAGCGCCTGGCGCTGGTGCTGGCCGCCCGCTCCAGCTCCACTCGCGCTCTCTTGTGGCTCAGCTCCATCTGCGTCTTCTCCCGCTCCACCTGGACGACCTGGGACTTGGAGCGGATCCGCTCGGCTCGTTCCTCCAGCTGAGCAGGTCACACCCGAGGGAGAGAGAGCCCTCAGCAGCCGCGCCAAACAGCTGGGGGGCTCGTCTGACACTCACACACTGACACCTGCCCCCAACAGGGCCCGCACTCAGCCTTGGGGGAGAAGGACGGATGCCCGGTCTTTTGTTGGAAAACAGGTACACAGAGGCAGTAAACAGAGAGGAGACAATAACAGGAAGAGAAGGACCTATTTTTTTTCAATTTCTTTTAGTATTTATTTCTTTTTGAGGGAGAGAGAGAAAGATAGAGAGAGAGAGAGAGAGAGAGAGACAGAGCATGAGCAGGGGAGGGGCACAGAGAGAGGAAGACAGAATCCGAAGCAGGCTCCACGCTCCAAGCTGTCAGCACAGAGCCCGTTGCGGGGCTGGAACCCACAGACCGTGAGATCGTGACCTGAACCGAAGTCGGATGTTCAACCGACTGAGCCCCCCAGGTGCCCAAGAATGATATGTTTTAATAAGGCGGTGTATATGCTTGTTTTAGAGAAAAGAGCCTATTAGTTTCCTATTGCTGTGCAGCAACTTACAACAAACTTAGCAGCTGAAACCCCACGTTAGCCGCCGTCAGGCTCTGTGGGCAGAAGGCCAGGTCGTGTGATCAGGCTCTCACAGGCTAAAATCAACACCCAGTGGCCACGCTCCAACCTCATCTGGACCATGAGATCCTCTTCCACACTCACATGGCTGGAGGACCGAGGTCCCGTTTCCTTGCTATCAGCCCTGTGCTGCTGTCAGCCCTGCCACGTGGCCCCTGTCCACCTCCAAAGCCAACAAAGGAGAATCCCCCATATGTGGAATCCCTCTCCTGCTCTGTCTCTGACTTCTCGATCTGATCTAGTGACCTAGGTTTAAAAGGCTCATCTGAGTAAGTCAGGCCCACCATCATAAGGTCAACTGACTGAAGTTCTTAATTCTGTTGGCAAAATCCTGCCGCCACAATACCCAGTGTTTAAGTGGGAGAAAGTGTGGCCCACCTGGGGCCGGGCATTCGGGAGCCGTCTTACAAGTACACCCACCACAGAGGGTAGGCACATAAAGGTGAGGTCAAGCCTTGAAGGGCCTCGGAGGACACGTCAGTTTCGCAGACCCACTGACTGTCAGGGTCTCTGGCTCACGTGGACTAGAGCCTGACCACTCCAAGAATGCCTGGTAGCACAGCAGCTCCAGAGCACGAGAAAGAAACGCAGAATCTCAGGCTGCGCCCCACAGATGCCAAATCAGAATCTTCCTCTTAAACATATCAGGTATTCATGTGCACACTGAAGCGTTACGGCGAGTGGTTCTCAGTTCCACCAGGGATGCTTGGCAACGTCTGGAGACGCTGTCGACCGTCAAAAGACGGGCAAGCAGTACGTGTTCACTACCGGCATCCCACGGGCAGAGGCCAGGGATGTCGCTCAACACCGCACAAGGCACAAGCCTGTCCTGCAGAACAAAGAACCACCCACCCCAAAACGTCAGCCGAACCATGGATGAGAAATCCCAGGCCAGGGGAAAGGTATCTTCTCTACCCACCCCCCCACCCCCCGTCTCTGGGGGCTCAAGTCCACACTTCACTCCTCTGACACTTTCTCTCACTTCCACCCCCACCCGTTCAAGTGGGGGAGTTCCGAAGTGCACCTTCCGTCAGACTCACTGGCCTTCCCAGCCTCACTCTGTGCCTGCAGCTAGGGCTCCCAGCTCCCGTGGGCACCACTGTACAGGGACCAGGAGTCCCAGAGAAACAGATCCATGGACACATCTTCCTGAAACATCGACTGCGACTGCATGTGAAGGAAAGTAACTGAAACATGTTTATGTCGAAACCAACACTGACATGTAGCAGAGCGACTGTAAACACTTTCCCACAGAAACAAGAGGCTTAAAAAAAAGGGCAGGGGGGCGCCTGGGTGGCTCAGTCAGTTGGGCGTCCGACTTCAGCTCGGGTCACGATCTCGCGGTCCGTGAGTTCGAGCCCCGCGTCACGCTCTGGGCTGATGGCTCGGAGCCTGGGGCCTGCTTCCGATTCTGTGTCTCCCTCTCTCTGTGCCCCTCCACCGTTCATGATCTGTCTCTCTCTGTCTCAAAAATAAATAAACGTTAAAAAAAAAAGTTTAAATAAAAGAAAAAAGGGCAGGGGGCCCAGAATGGTAGTCAAAGCACTGATTTCCAGGCTCCCCCCAGACCTGTAGGTTCTCAGTTCCCTCATCTGCCATCAGGGGGCAGCTTGGTAGGGCAGAAAACCACTGACGGATGTCCCGGGCCAGCTCAGGACCAGGTCAGGGCCCTGGCAGCCTACGGCCGCAACACTCTAACCAGCCCTCTCTGGCACCCGCCTACGGGGTCCCGCAGACTGAGGAAGCCCTCCACAGCACTAGTTTACTGAAAGGTTGGCCTCTGAATTTCTAGATTCTATAGTTCCGACAGGTTGGCCAAAAGTTGCCAGACATTTGCATCAACAAAATTGTAACGCTTTTGTAGACCAAAGCTGCTAACTTCTTATTTTGCCAGTGAGCAACTCAAACAAACAAACAAAAGCACAATTGCCACTAGCGTTTCCAAAAAATGCTTTAATGCCAAAAACAAATCTAAAAGATTCAATTTCAAAATAAAAAACAGTCCTTGCCAAAAAATGGCAGCAAGCAGCAACTCAGCCCACAAACAAACAGAAATCATTCAATTACTCAGCAAACGAATGCACACAAACACACCAGCATGTGTTTGACCAGATGCTGCCTGTGCCTCCCTGGGGCTCCCGGGTTCCATCAGGGGCCGTTTCCCTGGGATGGTTCAGGCCGCACAGCACAGGGGAGCTGCTGGACGTCGGCAGTGCAGAGGGGCGGGGGCCAGGCCCAGACGCCACCCCCTGCTTGGGAGGGCCCAGTGATCCCTGCCCCCATGAGACTGACCCCACAACTCTGTGGAACCTCAAGTCCTCCAGAAGACCTGACCCCTTTATCATGCTGTACGGTCAGTGTTGCCAAGGAAGTGAAATAAAGGAAATAGGACTGTTTTTATCGCAAAACTGTAAAAGCCACATCACGGCAGAGCGAAGCCAAGATCTGCAAACGCCCCC